AGTGAGGTGATGATTTGTGATGGCGCACAATACGGACTTTGCAAGGGAGACCCTGCCCGGTCGCGCCAGGTTCTTCCCCTTCCAGCCCGGCAACCGGCCCATTGCCTTGTCTAGAAGAGGTTGGAGGTCAACCAGGTTTCTATTTTCCGTAAAAAAGAGAAAACTGAACATTTGTTTCAACCGACTTTGCTACTTAGCAGCAAACTGGAATTTTTTTTTTGGATGAGTTGATTCTTGCCTGCGTGTAGCTCACAGGTCGAGACAGGCCGCAGGGTCCTAGAGAGGTCTCGGTTGCAACAAGCCGGAGCTGACGGCGAGGGATGCCCAGGGGCAGCAGAGGTGGCGCGTAGCAACACTTGCTGGCCACAGACACTGGTTCGTCCGGTGTCCAGGGGAGGGGGTGGGGGTGACACGTAGGGAGGAAGAAAAAGAGGATCGCACCGGAGGAGGAATAAAATTGAGTGGAAACATCGACATAAAACAGTTTTTTGTATTTTCTTCAGTTGCATTATATATCCATAGGCGGTCCCTTGTTCAACAAACCATCCGCTCTATTGATAATGTTTGCGCTTGGATCCTCTTTATTTTAAAAGTCAGCAAGCGGTGTCCTCATGTTGTAATCAAGCCATTAAGATTTCGCGTCATTTTTGCCATTTCTTCCACCGAATGAGGAAATTAATTGATCCATTCGCTTGTTCCGCTCCGAGCAGTTGGGCGAATCCTAGCCATCGCCAGCTTCGACCTCTTCTGTGCCATCCCTCCTCATCGCCCCCGCCGCAACGCCGGGCGAAGCCCGGTTGGCATCGGCGGCGGGGCCCCTCTTCCCCGTCGCTGGGTGGCTCGTATCATGGGGTGCAGTGCTCTGGCCGAGGTGTGTCGCTCGCATGGGGCGTGGCGGTGGATGCGAGCTTGGTCGTGCTGGTGGCACGGGTGGATGGGGACGCGGTGGTAGCTACGTGGTGGCTCGCGCACGACATGGTGGCCGCAACTCGTTCAGCGGTTGGTCTGGTGGCATTAGCGGTGGGACGTTATGCTGGGGGCGGTCGTCGGTCGCCTCTGATGTGGTGGCGGCAACGGAAGCGTCCTGGTGGCGTGGGCGTGCTTGGGCGGTGGAAATCCTCCAGATATTGGATGGCGAGTTTGCGCGACGCGAGAGTTGCTCCTCTGCATGAGATGGGCTCCTCTAGTCCTTGGTGGCGGAC